CAGGAGGCGTGGGGTGGGGGGGGTCGGCGGGGAAGCGAGGCGAGTTCTGGGCGATGCAGCGGGGCGGATTTTGGTTTCATGAACCTGGTTGTCTGGCAATTTTTCGCCATTCGCACTGTGTTATGTTCGGCAGTCACACACAAAGGATCTCACACGCGCCCATACATGCATAAGACAAAGGGGAGAGGAGACAGTCCAAACTGCACATAGACCAGAGATAAGCAGCGGAATTCACACATGCACATTGTATCAAGTTACTATCAACCATGCACAGATGCGGTGAATGCACACAGTGTTCCTATCTCTCTGACAAACTCCCAACAACCAATCACAAGATGACACTGCGAAGATCACAATTGGAATATGACACTGATGATGAGCCAACTCAACTCAATCAACCCCAAATATCCTTACAGAGTTTAACCTAGTATCTTGCCACCTCGGTATCTCACACCCCACACACTACCCCACTCTCAGAGACCAGCGCTACACAGAAACAGCCTCCCAGAGGCCAGCGCCAAACACCAGGATGAAGATCATGAGTCGCAGTGGAGTCTTTAGTGCCGATGAGTCACTTCTACATATACTAGGCCTACACTAACCTACACCGACCACAGTCACCAGACCCTACTGGACCGACGTACTGCGCATGAAAATAGACTAGTTGGTACCGTTTCAGTTGGGGCCTCGAGGCCCTTACCCAGCTACGGGCTCTACCCACTGTGGGCCCCTCAGGGCCTCTAATCTTCCGGGAAGACTGGGCCTGCGACAGCAGGACCGGACCGGTTCTATTTTTAGAACATTCTACAGGTCTCAGTGGGACTGACGTGCGCACACAACAAACACGCAGCAAAGTCGGTCAGCATGCAAAACATTGCAAACCACACAGACATAGTACAGCCTCGCAATCAGTCACGGCAATAGAAATCAGCAAGTCGTTGCACATAGAATACAAAACACACGCCCGTGACACATTGACAATCTCTCTCTCTCTCTCTCTCTCTCTCTCTCTCTCTCTCTCTCTCTCTCTCCTCCCCAATGTCGATGTCTCCCGCGCCAAACTTCGTTCCTCCTGCCTGCGCAACATAGAGCGAGCTTGCGCCCATCGATCAATAAGCGGCACATTGGCTGATGGCGTGCACTGCCCTTGCGGGCCGAGTCCTGTCCTCTGCCTCACGCGTCGTCCTCCATCGTCATCTCCATTTGCCATCCGGAACCTCGGCACGTAATCAGAGTCATTAGGATCGTCGGCCCCTGTGGTCTCGCCGGCCTCAGTGGCTGTGGAACTGTCATCATGGATGATGCTCCAGCCGCCTCGTCTTTTCTCGCCTCGCCCTGGTCTGTCCACGCCGTCMCCCCCGTCTGCCCCCGCCTGTCCGTCAGCAGCCGCCGGCATCTGTCTGGACTGATCTTTGTAGCGAAAAATAGGTGGCAGGCGGCGTCGGTGAAACGGAATCGACGTACCTGTCCCCTTCTTCCTCGCCCGAGAGAGCCTCGCAGTTGCCATCCCGGTGTCATGGACGTCCTCTGTCTTCGGCCGTATGGGCCTCCCATGCCGCTCCTCGAAAGCTCTCATGGACTCGTGACAACTGCCATCGACGTGGCCTATCAACCGCGTCCCCGCGGGCACATCTGTCGGTCCACATGCTGATGCGTGTCCCATATCGCCCGCCCCTCGGTCTGTGCTCGCGCCGTTGTAGAATGGCATCGTTGGCAATGCACTGCGCCCATCCAAGCCATGGGCGGCGGGGTCGACGACGGGGGGGTGCGGGGGTGGTGGACAAATCCCTGGCAGATGCGGTAGAGGGTCACCTGCATGCCCGCCTCCGACACCATGTGCGACGGCGCCGACGGGCCCTCCAGCATCAGGGTGTGTGGTCGATGACCCGCCGTGCTCGCTGTCCCCGCCGACGGGCTGACCATCAGCTGTGCTCCGTGGCTGGGCCGGATCCTGCCCCGTGCCCTCGCCTCCTCCAGACCGAACGACCCCCAGAACCTGCGCCTCTGTTGCCACCGTCGGGCCCGGGTGCGGCTCTGCCTGCTGACCCGCCGCCCGTGGTGGGACTAATGACCCGCCATCTGAAAAATCCTGCGAACCACGACCCTCGGGCGCCACATGATCCGCGAAAGCTGCCTCTAATGACTCTCCCAGACTGCGTTGAGCTGCGACGCGTGGCCCACCACGGCGGTTCCGTGCCACCTCCTCCGCCAACCCCTGGTCCACAGCCCATGGACCTCCCACATGAAAACTGGCGGGAGAGCTGCGGACCTCTGAAGAATGCAGTCTCGTGTCGCCGCCGACCGCGTCGGATCCTGTGTCATGATGCGTCTCATCCAGTTGAGTAGCCTTTGGTGGCGCCATGTCTGGCAAACTGGGAGATATCAAAAGCGATATTTCGGGCAGGCCTGCCAAGGCTGAGTCCATGGCCAGTAACTTATCAGTGCGCGGAGGGCTGCTGGGCGGGCAATGGAGGCCGGCGCTTTGTTGAAGCGTGTCTGGGTATCCCGCCAATGTGCGGTGGATATCCTCTGTGGAGTAACCGCCGCTCGCCAGGGCGCGCGCCACATCCTCTCTACTGTAGCGTACAGACCCCAGGCCATCATGGGCACAAGCAGGAGTAGGTGTGACCTCTCCGTCCTCTAGACCAGCGTCTGTCGTGGGAGGGGGTGGTGCCTCCCCGTCCTCCATACCCACACCTGCGGGGGGGACCTTCGTCGTGGGCGCCCCGTGCGCGCCCGTGACAACATCAGTGGAAGGCATGCGATGGAACTCCGTCTCCTCCGCTGTGTCGACAGTGGGCTCCGGCGACCGGGGACGAGTGAACACCACTCCACTCTCCTCCCGCGCCAACGACGTGGGATGATCACCCATGTCATCCTCCGACACGATGACCGGGTCCTGCTGCATGACATGTGCCTCCGTCCGGGTCGCGACGTGGACACTACGCACACGAGAAACAATGTTGTCATCCCGTCTGCCCCCGTGTCTCAACCGCTTCAAAACGATGGCAGGCATGCGAGTCATTGTGCGACCACTGTGACCAACATCGCCGTCCACACACTCCTCGGCCCTGTCGCCCCCGCACTTACTCCATCCACCATCGGGTCCATCACCTCTTCTGTCACCGCCTCCACCATCACCTCCACCGTCACTGCCTCCACCATCACCTCCCCCTTCCACGCCTCCACCGTCGCCTCCCCCTTCCTCGCCTTCACCATCAGCTCCCCCACCACCGCCCTCGCCACCTCCCCCGCCTCCAACGTCACCCCCCCCTCTCCACCATCATCGAACCCACCAGCGCCCCCGCACCCACAACCTCCCCCGTCACCTCCTCCGTCGCCACTGCCTCCAATATCACCTCCATCGTTGTCGTCGGCCGCCGGTGTGCCTGACGTGAAGAAATCGTCGTCGTCGTTGGACGTGCTGTCGAACAGAAAGTCTCCCTCGTCCCAGCGCACGCGAGCCTTGCGAACGAAATCGCCCGCCCGCCGTCGTCGTGTCCGCGAGCCAGCACGCACGTCGCCGCGCGTCGGTCCTCCGGCCACCGCTCGTCCGCGACCTCCGGCCCTGCGTCAGCGCCTGTCGGACTCCGCCACCCGACGCTCGGCTCCCATGCGGGAAACGGTACGCATCCTCTCTCTGGCGTGGGTCAACTCCTCCTCAGTCACCATCACCTGTGCTCCACTGCCTCTGACGAGCTGATGGTCCACGGGGACCTCGTCCTCCACGGCCTGTCAATAATGCACCCACTTTTCGAAGATGTCGGGCCTCTCACCAGCACCATCGTCATACAACGCCGGTCTATCGAGAAGCCTGAGGTTCCAGTGGCACCTGACAAGCTTCTCAGCCCGAGCGACCTCCAACATGTTCCGAGACTTCGAATGAATGAAGCTCCAGCGAGACCAGGCCCTCTCGCACGGTGACGTCGTCGCCCAGATGCGGAGGATCCTGCCGGCGAACACGTCCAGGTGAGGGAACTTCCCACTCTTCGCCGACCAAAAACTGGCAGGATGGTCAAAGCTATCCATCGCCCGCCGCACGGTGACGTCATCGAAAGGCGGCTCGCATGTGTGGAACTTGTCAACGACTCGACGGACCTCCCGGTGTTGCGGTGATCCCTCCGGGTAGCCGAACTGGACCAGGGCCTCGACCAACGCCCGCTGCACCTCACCATCGTCACAAAGCGTTGGGTCCCGGAACTCGGGATCCAACAGCATGACTGCTATGTGGGCGGGGGTCTGGAACATGGTGCGCCGTCTGACAAACACCTCCAGAATAGCGTCCTGCTGATCCTCATCAATGTCCTTGCAAGTAGACAAACAAGATGCAATCATTACCTCATAACGGTGCAAAATCTTGTTGATTAGGCGTGTGTCGCTATCCACCAACCTCAACATGTCCATGATAGGCTCTAGCATGTGGTACAATGCTATCAGATCCTCCCACCATTGAGGAGATCCGATGCACGCAGTGACCTCCGCAACATCCTTGCGGATCTTGCTGGTGGACCAAACCGTCTCACGCCAGCGCTTGTCGCCTATAACCTTCGTCAGATCTACCCGCAGGTCCACCAGCCTCTCCATCATGATGACGTTCGTTCCAAAACGCGTCTCTGTCGGCAGCAGAAGAGTCTTCTTCGAGTGCACCTCCTGAACCTCTCTCGCGTGGCCATGACACTGTCGGGGCAAATACCCTGACAAGGGKATTTGCCGGGGTTTTCAACGTCGGACGCTGTCCGACTTTTTCGTGGAATTGAAGGAGTTGACAAGACAAACGTTGCCAAATTTGTTCAGACAAACCTATGACCGGTAGGCTTAAACTTTTTTTTTTAAGCTAGACGTCGTTGACGTCCGACTGAAATAGTGGTAATCAGTGGTGTGACCACTAATCACGGCATCTGACGAAGCTATGGAATAGTTTGGCTGAGGGACTACTAGGATTATACCTACCCTACCTAATAAGGTGGCGCGTGGCGGTAGGCCGCACGATTCAGGGCCTAAGTGCGTTCAAAGTGGCGACCTTACCGGAGGTCGCGACGAGAGGTGAGTAGGAAATTATTATTATTTTTTTTAGAACCACGGGCGTCCGCACCAAGGGCTGAAATGGATGGCACGGTAGCCGCAGGATACGGCAAGCGTAGGGCTCGCCAACCAGCCACCCAGCGTGCAGCCACCCAGCGTGCAGCCACCCAGCGTGCAGCCAGCCGGGCAGCAATCAGTCTACAGCCAGCCGTCCAGCAATCAGCCTGCAGCCAGTCGGCCAGCAATCAGCCAGCAATCAGCCAGCAACCAGCCAGCCGCAGATTGAAGCAGTAGAAGTCCGCTGGCCTGGATGGCAGCCTGCTGGGCCCCGTAACCCTTCATATATGTGGGTTGCTCTCATCCCTATATGAGATAGGAGGTAGCCCAGTAGGTACAACTACCAAACTTCTACCCGCAGATTCAGGGATCGAGCCGGCGATAAGCAGTTTGGGCTAGCTCCTTTTCCTTTGGAGCTGCCCACTACACCAGCATGAAGCACGGTCATTCTCGGTCGCGAGATCATCAAATCTCATGGCCGGGAATGGCCGCCTGGCTGTAGCTTGACCCTTGCGCAAGGATGACACGCATAAATCGAGAAATGGTCCAAAATCCTGGTAGGGATTTGAACCCGGGTCTGTACCTCAATGTGCCATAGCAGGCCACGATGGGACGTGACCGTTGGCAAAGCCGACGTAGTTAAAAAAAAAAATAAAAAAAAAATAAAAAAAAAAATGGAAAAACAGTCTTTGCAGACTGTGTGGGAGCACAAAGGCTCCCACTTCGTCATGGAGACTGTGTGGGAGCACAAAGACTCCCACTTCGTTTTGGACAGATGATTGTGGCCTCAAGATCTTGAAATCTCGCAGCCCACAGTTCAGACATGGAAAGCAAGAGGGGGTTGAAGTTGAGTGGAGAGTGAGAGAGAGAGAGAAACTGGAGGATGGGGAGAGGAGGACCTATTCCTCCCGACCTGCCAGCTGCCTCCCCGTTGTTAGGGGGGGTAAAAAGAAAAAAGAAAAGAAAAGAAAAGAAAAGAAGAAAAAGAAAAGAAAAAGAAAACGAAAAACGGGATCTGAGTTTTTTTGAGAAGCTGTATTTTTCACTTTGCGCCACTATTTTTTTGGTGGCGCAAAAACAATTTTGTTGACCTTGATTTTTTTTCTGTAGGTAGTCAGGCACCTAGGCCATGTGCATGAATGTTTTTAGATGTTTTTATCCAGCGAATAGTTTTCTAAAATTCTTCAAAGTCGGGGTACTTTTTGCACCCCGCTCTGAGTCTGTCGGGATTTGAACTCGTGAATTTTCATGAGTTCTTTCCCTACCTCTCCCAATCTGACAACTGCCATCCCCGTTTTCAGGGGAGGGCGGGGGAGAAAAGAGAAAAAGATGATAAAAGGGAAAAGGGAAAAGCCACGGCGACTAATGTGGCAGCGGCTATGATCAGATATAGGCCAAACTGGCCTGAATGTGGCTCAGACCAGAGGCTGGGGAGATGAAGGGGTAATGAGGGGAACTTGGATGGAAACAACCATTTTGCCGCTGAACCTGCACTCAGTGTGGGGCTGAGTGCAGGAAAAAGGGAGAAAAAGATGGGGGCAGTTAAGTACAACTACCACCCTAAGTGTGTAGCTGAGGTGAGACGGCCTCTGTCCGTTGATCTGGCTCAGATCAACGGCCCCAGGCAAGTGAGGAATTTTGCCTGGGGGCAGCTGAGGCTGCTGCTGCCCTCCTCAGCCACTACAAAAGAGGCAGTTGTCCCCCAGCTGCCTCACATTTGCCTCCGGCTGCCAGTGTGCGACAACACACTTGCCTCATTGTCGAAGTGCTGGAGAGGAGGCAGGAGTGTTGTCGGCGGAGCTGGAGGACTGCAGAGGAGCGGAGCGATGAAGGAGGAGACAGCTATAGCCTTGGCTATAGCACTCTGCTCCACCCCTTGGCAGACTGGTCTCTGGTGGGACTCTGCGGTATTGTGTTGAGAAGCAGCAGCGGAGCGATGGGGAGCACGACAAGTGCTGCCAAAATTCTGCGGCGGCGGCACGGGTTTTTACGGTAGCGGTACGGAAGTGTTGCCGAAATTCTGCGGCAGCGGCACGGGTTTTTACGGCAGCGGTACGGAACTGCTGCCGAAATTCTGCGACGGCGGCACAAGTTTTTACGACAGCGGTACGGAAGTGCTGCCGAAATTTTGCGATTGCGGCACAAACTTTTTACGGCGGTGGTACGGAAGTGCTGCCGAACTTTTGCGGCGGCGACGCAGGCTTTTTTCGACAGTGGTGCGGAAGCACTGTCGTCTTTTTGCGGTGGTATGGCACGGCGAAGCGCTGCCATCTTTTTGCGGTAGTACGGCACGGCGAAGCGCTGCCGTCTTTTTGCGGTGGTACAGCACGGCGAGGCGCCGCCGTTTTTTTTCTACGGTGGTACGGCACGGCGGAAGGCTGGCGTTTTTTTTTTTTTTTTTTTTTTTGATAGGGCAGAGAGCGACGACGCGCTGCCGATTACTGACGAGAGTTCGACACTGCAGTGGAAATGCGGCACGACGGTAGGACGTGCGGCGCGGCAGTGGAGTTTTTTTTTTACCGCGTTGAAAGTTTTTTTTTGTTTTGGTGTCGCGTCTGCTTTTCTTGGTGAAGGTCTGCTACCATTGGTGTGTACGGCAGCAGTAGCGTGACATGGTGGCGGTTGACGACATGCGACAATACGAAATCTGAGCGCGACAGGCGGGTTTATTTTTTTATGCAACATATGAAATAAATATTTTGTAGATGGTACTACCCAACAGTAGCAGTAGTGCGGGACCACTTGGGACCGACTGGGATCAGTTGGGATCGACGCAGAACGCGGTGGATTTTTTTGGGACGAGTGCGGCTCGCCATCTTCGCACTTGGGACTGCCGCGAGTGAAACTTGCGAGTCGGAAACAGACTGGGACAAACAGTTGGTCCAAGACTTACCTCGGGACTGCGGTTTGTTCGGTGGCGCGTATATGTCATTGGGCTTTCTTGAGTGAGCCACGACGCGTTCGACACTACTTTACTCAAGGTCAGTCAGTGGACGACTCAGACTCCCTTCACACCTGTGTGCACCCACACATTGCTTGACCATTTTGCTTTGAATGTTCAGGAGAAAGGTTGAGTGGGGTTGTGGGCGTCATGCATGAGTAAAAAGGTGGTTCTGACGTGTGTAGTGGGACTTTGTTTGTGTTTTTTTTATCGTGTTGTGTG